GGGCCACCGACGAACCAAGGACCAGTCGTCGTAGCTCCCGCACCGCGTCGGGCGTCTGCGTTTCGCGTTAGCGTTTACGTCTCGCTCGCGCTAATGAGTAGCCGATGAGTCCGTGTCCAACCAATTTACCGTGATGTGCATGTGAGTTTTTTTTCCCCGCTTCCTCGGCACTCTCGTCACCCGTCGGTTTTTTCACCCGTGTAAGTGTCGTCACCCACCTTTGTTCCGCCTACTTTTCTCTTTGTTTTTGCATCCCCCCCCCCTCCTCATCCGCATTTCTCGTGAATCGTGAGGATTTACTCGCGCGGCAATGCGGGGTCATAAGCGCGCTGACCCACTGCCGATGGAAATGTGGGTGTGCTTACTTTCTTGCTCGGAAAAATCAGGACATTCGAAACAAAGTCGAAAACCAGTATTTTTTCGCATTAATTTATTGTCTCAAGTGGTCCTAAAGAATTTTAGTGTGGTTATCCGACAATTGCCGTTTTTATCAGGTTTGCCTCGGTCAGGAAATAGCGGGAAAGCTGGGAAATGTCAGGGATTTTAAAAAGTCAGAGATCACCTACAGATGTCAGGAAAAAATTGTTAGGTCATCTTTCTTTGCTTTCCTGAGCGGGTTTGACAATTCGAACAACATGTTCTGCGTAGAAACTTTTTCAATATACGACTTTCAAATCATCTGGCATATCCATAATCGTCAAGAAAATTTATCAAAATGTGTTAGGAAAATCAGAGAAATTTCAGGGAATTTTATTACCTAAATTCTGTAGCAACCCGGTTTTTTACTTTTTATTGAATTTATTTTTCCATTCGATTTCTCTTATCGACTCGTTATCTATTACGGTTATGTTGGTAGACTATTAATTTTACTCTTTTTTACATGCATTAGTCCAATTATTCAATACGAGTTAAATTTCAACTAGATTCCCTTAGCTAGAATATTCGGTATCATTATGGAGTACGCTTACGAGTCGGGAAGCTTTTGATTATTGCGAAAAAATTGGAAGCTCTTTTACTCACTGTCAGACCCTCAGTTTGTCGAATACTTGGGACGTCTGTTGTAGCCAAGTCTATTTTTTGCCCTAAACACAAAATGACAAAACACAGGCAGGGAAGAAAAAGAGGAGCACAACATAATTTTCGGTGGAAGGATGATCGGCCGAATTCACTCATTGTGCGGCGGTGAAACTTAACCTTTTCTCGCTTTTATGCCTTTTCCGAGTGATTTCATTTTGGACTGTTCTCACATTCCTGGATAAAATAGGCTGTATGTATTGGATCCACAGTAGAAATACGGCAAGGTGGCGCCTCTAAGAAGAGGGAAGGAGAAGGTGAGAGAGGAAAACAAAAAGACGAAAACAAGAAACTGTGGTCTCGTGTGGTGCCCAGTTGAATACTGCCGCCAGTGTGGTCAGCGTGGCCATGGTGTTTTTTCATTGAGAAGCGGCCGTGGTAATCTAGCATGAATGGTCAAATCCAGAATTCATTGTCAGGACAGTCTTGACGAGCATTTAAAACCCCGTCGGAGCCAAATATTACGGAGCCATGCTCCGCTTCTCAGAGTCGGATCAGTTGCACGTTCTACCACCGCCCCGAACCATCTTCACTCTTTCCGCAACAGTTGATCCTGCTTTTACGTAACTAATGCAATGCCTAATTGAAGGTAATAAAAGCAACCCTGTCTATAAAGCTCTACACTGCCGTGCTAAGGAAAAACGCCGTACGAACATTCAAAAGTTACCAACTTTCCCGTAATAAAACATGTTTTTTTGACGATATTCATGCATATGTTTCCTTGAAAATTCAGATATTATTGATTAAATTGCGTACATAATTGTCTGAAAAATTTGGGGGAAGATATTCACAATTTGCCAGAAAAATTCGGTTTTTATCGAAGAAAACTCGGCAACGTCTGAAGGCTCATACGGCGTTCTTTCCCAGCACGGCAGTACAAGTCAGCTGGATCGCAAAACCTGCGAATATGACATGCCGGTGAATCGTCAATAAATGCTACCAAAAAAACCCGTTTCTCAGTTTAGGAAGCCTCGAGGAGCCTCGGGACCATGTGCAGTCGATTTTATGCCTCAAATTTCGTAGGTCTAGTAGGTTATCTCGACATTTTTCCCCCCGTCTAGAATCGGGAAAAATCCACAAGGGTTGTTACATGGACTAAAATTTTAGGGGTCAAAATCGGAAGGTTTTCGATTGAGATGAAATTGAGGTAGCATCATCTAAAATGGCTCGAGGAATCCAATTTTCTTGTCTGAAAGCTCTAAGAGTCCGTTGGTTTACGGGACTTTGATATGTGTAGCTGTATCATTGTCATGGCCGATCATGGTCGAATGATACCATTTCAAACAGGGGGTTAGGCAGCTACGTGAGCCACGCCCCTTAATACGCCTATGAGCCAACTTAAAAATCGTAAGGTTAAGTCAAGCATTATTTACGGCGAGATAAGAAATCTTGGATAACACAATAGAAATACTCGTAAAAGTAAACTTTTGAAATAGAAAAAAGAAGAAGGAAAAAAAAGAAGAAGAGAAACCCCACTGTGAAACTATACCAAACCTCAGATCTCTAATAGGGTCCTTAAATATTTTCATTTGTTTTGATACGATTGCGCGGAATTTTTGGAGAATATTGTCGGAAAACAAAAACAATTCAAACAAAATGCGGATCAGAAACATTGCTTTTTTTAAAGTAAAATGTCACTGTAGGTTTGCATCATTGTAAATAAAAATACTTGGTTTAATTTCACCTTCACTGTTGCACTGTTCTCCGTTTATCTCAGGTTTGCAGCCGATAGATGTGCGAAAGCAGGCAGTGTTCATCACAGCTCCTGGATACAACTATTCGCACTCCATGAATGCGCGTGTTGCATGTAAAAAATTGAAGGCGGCCTGGGCTTTCTCGCTCGCGCCGGAATGCGCATATTGCGATTTACGCTGCGTGCCAGACCGCACCGGTGCTTAATATCAACAGTGGAGGCGAAAATACCAAACCAGAGATCTCTAATATGATCTCGAAAAAATTTAACTCGTTTTTTTTTCTTTCCTGAAAATACTGCTCGACTCACTCGCGCGAAATTATTCAGAATTTTGCCCAAAAAACGAACTATATACGATAATCAGACCTTCTTTGAGAAGTGAAATGAGGCAGTAGATTTGCAACGTCGCAAATCGAGATGCGAAGTTTGACAATAATTTCATCTTCACCATCGAATTTTTCTTCGCCTCCCTCAGTTTTGCAGCCAATGGATGAGCGAAAGGGGGCAATGTTCATCACAGCGCCTGGATGCAACTAGTCGTGTTGCATGTAGAAAAATTGAAAGATAATTGAAAGGAAAAACTCGAATGTTTTTCCAATAAATCGTATTTTGCAGGAGGCTTTTAGGCGCGACGTCTTAATATTCAACACGGCAGTCCCGCAGTCCCTTACCTGAAGAAAACAATACTGCAAGCAATTCCTTGCTGCTCCTTAAAACTTATCCGCATTCCCCCTAAGAACTGGCTGAAATTTGTTTTTTTTCTTTCTCTCTCTCTGATTACGCACTCAGGATTTCATTGATGTGACACATTATAATTGTCTAGAGTCAAAATTTTCATAAAAGGAAGTGAGAAGAAAAATAGTTTGGTGTGTATCAACCAACGTCTTGCTCAGCGGCGGCGTAATTCATAACACGGGAAAGCCGATGCCAAGGCCATACTCAAGTCGCTTGTTCAAAGTAATAATTAAACGCGTTACACATTATCACTGAAACCCACGTGAAAATTGAGCGAATTAATGTTCCGCAACGCTCCGAAATTTTGCAGCTTCAACTTTTCTCGTGAGCAATCCAAAAGCACGATAGTTTCTCTCCATAATTTTGAGACGGCAATCGAGGATTTTTCCTCAAAACCTGGAGTTCCGACGTATGTCTGACCCCTCGGCAAGAAAAAAGAACACAGCTATCATATTGTCATTTAAAGGCCTCTAATAAATGCCCGCAGAATGAGGGAAGGGGGGTGAGTGCATTCCCTGTTTTTGCCCTGAAAGTTCATCGCTGTCCCCTCTTTCGGCATCGACAGAGAAAATTCCGGAAACTTGGTTTCCTCATTTTGAAACTGGGAAAAAGTTCAGTGAAGTCTCATAAATGAACCTCTTTTATCCTATCAGTAGGATCTTACTCTGATCCCGACTCTGATCCGTACTTTTAAATTGATATTCAGTATCCTTTGATGTGTCGAAGCGACTAGTCAGAGGCGCTTTAGGGCGGACATAACGTCATTCCTCTTACAGAACTACGTACCCTGGTAAAAATTGGCGATAGGAGCCGCGTTTCAAAATACCATAGGAGTTCTTACAGCCAACTAAAGAAGGCGATAGGAAATCATATAGCTGGCTGGAGAAAGAAGAAAAAATCATACGACCGGGCTACACGAAGCGATAAAAAATTATGCAGTCGGGCTATAGTTCCTATCGCCGGGCTTTACACTTTATCGCCTGGCTGTTGCTTTTTCGCCATCGGCTATAAAAAATTGTGTAGACATTCGTGTGCTTTGTAAATCCTTAAGTTTGTACGGAATCACCTTAATATTTACAAAACGCACATTATATTTTCCTTTACTACATATTTTGTTTCATCAATTAAAATGAGAAAAATCCATACAGAGTGTGCAAACATATCAAAGTCATGAGTTGAAAAGAGTCTAACACAAAGCGGAGCGGCGGCGCACTGGTTCCTACAAACCTAACAGGGATACTTCACGCATTGCGCAATGCGTGAAGTATCCCTGTATGTCAAAAATACATGTTTTATCTACGGAAATTTGGCAACCCTCGAATGTTCATACAGCGTTCTTCCTTAGTACGACAGCACAGTATATTTAAGTCGACTTACTTTTCCTAACGAATTTGACTACTGTCATTTGCTTGCCCTCTGGTTTGTATCCCTCTTTATGTGCCTTTATACAATCTGATGATTCGGATGCTAATTTCTCCGACCCTTGGTTTTGTTGCAGAAGCCGGTGACTAGACAATGATGGGTCCGACCACGGTCATGTCGAACGGAAACGCATCGGCCATCAGCAAGAGCAAGCTCGAGAACGGAACCGGAAACGGGCATCACGTTTCCGCGTCCAGCGAGGATGACGTCACCATTATTGGTGATCCCGTCGATAAAATAAACACCAGCACCGACAGGTAAATCAACAGTCCTCCTTCCCCCAGGTTCCGTTCGCGGAGTCTGTTAGCACAGAATTCTTGCTCTTCAAGTTCTCATCCATTTTCGTAAATTGAAATAAACACCATAATACTGCCGTGCCAAAGAAGGACGCCGTATGAACTTTCAGACGTTGCGAATTTCCTATGATAAGGTACGAATTTTCAGGGAAATCTTATGTATTTTTCCTCCAATTTTTCAGAGAATCTATTCGCAATAAGATCTAAATTATCTGAAAATTTCAAGAGAAAATATTTCTTAACTCTCCTTATGAATAAACATATTACTTGAGGAAATTTGGCAACTTTCGGAAGTTTATACGGCGTTTTTCCTTGGGACAGTAGAATAGGGTTCTGCCCCCAGAGTGGTCCAGTAGACAGGGTATGAATTTAAATATTCTGATGCCTGTTTCTTAATCGAATTTTCACGTGAAACACGATATGCGCAACGAAAATCACTGGAATTAACTCTTAACCATTATACGTTACTTAAGCATCTATTCGACTTCAAGTTCTTCGAACAAAAAAAGAAATCGCTTACGCAATGTTACCTTGACAGTCTCTGCGACCTGAAAATATTGCAACCTCAATCCCGACGCTTTGGCTCAGCTGTAGAAGTTGTTCACTTAACAACATAGTTGTGTTGTTGAGCAACACAGGGTGAGAAAGGAACAGTGCTTGACTAAGCAGCTACCCAAAACGGTTGTGTTGCGCGATTCGACTTACTTAGAGTAATATTTTTCATGCGACCGGGCAATTCAAATTTCCCGGAAAAACTTTTATATCGTAGTTAGGAGTTGATTTCATTGATTTTTGTCGCGCGAGTCGTGTTCTACATGAAATTTTGGTGGAGAAACATTAATCAGAATGCCTCAATTCGTATCTTGCCTATTGGTCCATCGCAAATTATGACTATGATCGGATTCTCTCTCTTATTTTTTTGGTAAGAATATGGAGCAGGGGAGAATTCAGTGTGCTTTACTGACAAGTGCAAGCAGTAGCAAGTGCAATTTACTTGACAAACTGTGACCGCGTTCGGTAAATAACCGCGATTACACATGAGCGCCGCGTGCAAAAAACCGTGAAAAACAGCGAGTGTTCAAGTGAACGCGTAACTTTCGCCAATTCTGATTGTCCAGTTCTTTCGCCTCCCCCCCTTCTCCTTGAAAATATCCTCTCTTTTGCTTGGTCCAAAAAGTAAACCTTTTGGTCGAAACCTACGCACGGAATTAAGTTACTGGCGATACAGAGCACACCGTAGTCCGTGCATCCAAAAAAGTATGGAACAAAAAAAGAAGGAAAATTGGCTGGAAAATTTCTGTACCCCAGATAAGTTTAGTGCATCGAAATGAATCAAGAAACCATCCGTGAGCGGCATAAAAAACAGTATGAAAAAGAACACAAATATAATGGTCTAGAAGAGGTTAAAAACCTTCCTAGTACATGTCCCATGTTATCTCTGCATTCTCATAAGACTTTGTAACAGAGTAAAAATTAATCATCAATCAGGAATTATCTTCTCCATATGACTCATTATGCTCTGAAACTCGTCTTTAGAGGAAGAATTCACACCAGAGCATCACTCTTCCTTTGCCCATTTCTTTAAAGTAGCAAACTGAATTTTATGCATCGATTTTTATAATCTTCTCGTGTTTAGCATATTATCAGAAAATAGTTGTTGGCCGAGTGCACAGAATTTCTGAAAATGTCCTGACACAAGAGGCTCTTATTCTGTGCCCCGATGAAGATTGTACGTATCAGTACTCCAGAGTCAAAAGGTACCTAACTCCAATTTAGTCATCTATGATGTCAGTGGAAAACCGTGCGTTGGCGCCATTAATTCCTATGTCAATCGCAATTTTTGAAATTCCGTACCTCATAACAGGCATAATATAGGGCTACCAAATTTTCCACACACGGAACCGTTATTGGAGCTTTCCAAACCGATACTAACTCGATTTTTTTCAAAAATGTGAGTTACTTAGGTACCTTTTGGCTCTGGGGTACTGATTTATGTACAATCAGAGCAAGATGCCTGTACTGAAATGCGCTGATGTCTGAAACTTTGCTTTTGGCAAATCTTGACACAATACCTGGCATGTTTTTTCCATGCCGAGACTTCTTTGTTCTAACTCCTTCTCTTGCTTTTCCAGCCACTGTTCAAGTTTATCTGACGGGGAAAACTACGAATGCTATGGTGAAGTCGACATGGATACATCCCCCCAGATCTTAAATGGGTAATTTTAAATAATCTTCCATTCTTACATAAGTCTGCAACAAAGATAGCAAGTTTTATTCATGGTATCTGGGACCAGAAAAACCCGGGAATAACTGGGATTCATCAGGGAATGAAAAACTGTCGAGAAAATCTAGGAAAAATCAGGGAATTTATTCCAGAAATCGGGAATTAATTCCGGGAAAAAAATTCGATTCATACCTGGATTTTCGGAGAATAATAGAGTTTTTACCAAGCAAATTCTGGAAAGTCATACAAAGCTTCCGCACTTTGTCAGCGAATAAGCTCCTGGAAATCAGGGAAAATCAGGAAAAAATCAGAGAATGAGTATGTTTAAGGATTTAAGACACATGGTATTATTTTAAAAAGTAGTAGAATGTAATCTTTGAAAGCTTTTTGAAGAGGACAAAAAAATCCCCAAGCCATGAAATTATACTGTTTATAATCAAGATATAGAGACTCAGAGTGTGAAAAAGGATGGATGCTCGTGAATAAGTACACATCTCAAAAATGATTACAGAGACATTCAATTTAAACGAAATTTAACACGGCCTCTGGAAATCGACAAATTAATTAAATGTTTGAATGACAAACGAAAATTTTCATGTGCGATTTCTCAAATTACTGAGAAAAAATGTATTGTATACCCGGGCAACTACGATCATTTAATATCTGTATTTTTTAATGTTTCAATTTCTGTTTTTTCAGATCTGCAAACAAGAGTCCTTTCAGCTCAAATTTAACAAGAAATACATGGTTACGCACTAGTTTAAGGAGATCTTCACCGAGGTAATGCTCAAATCACATTTTTTTTATTTCCCAATCATTTTAAGAATGTTAAAGGAATTATTCCATACAATGAAAAAACTCAAATTTTCCTCCGGATTTTTTAATAACTAAATGAGCCTATCAGGCACAACCAGGAAGATCAACTTGAGTCTTCGACAGCTTAACCCAATGGAACCATTTTTATGAAGGGTCCAAACGCCAAATTTTTAGTAGATAAGGTAGATAAGAAACATCAAAGGAGGGAGGACTTTAACTAACTAAAAGCTCATTTGGACTTCATTTTGCAATTTGGAACTATAAATTCTAGCCCGGTTTAAAAACGACGTATGTGCCATTAGTTTCCCGATGCACATAAGTGTTTTTCCAGAAGAGCCAGAATTTATAGTTCCAAATTGCAAAATGCAGTCCATTTGCCCTGATTGATACAACCCAGGTTGATTTATGAGGTTTTAATGACTGATGAACGATGCCAATGTAAACAATCAATGCTAAAATATTATTTTCAAGTCGTATAGTAGGTCTAACATGCTGAATCGACTTTTAACCTGTTTAGCAGTTCATTGCTTTTTTTCCAATATGAGGAGTCTAATTTTAATGGAAACCCTGTATAGATGACCCCCTATGCACAAATGGATCCACTAGAAAAACGGGTTTTCCCCAATATTTCTGTGATTATTCACGCAGTTCTATATTTTAATTTCGTGCTTTTTGATTTTCAGTCACAATGACAACCTGCCTAATCGAAAATGGGGCTCGTTTCGTCAATCGTAAGTAACCAATTATATAAGTTTTATTCAAGTTTTGCATTGTGTGAATATTTGTGTTCCGAATTCAATGATTGACATGTCTCTTAAAAAAATTCATCTCATCAAAAGAACATTTCATCGAAAGATATTGCCACAACCAAATATTTCTCTTAATACCTACCGGACTTTGAGAATCTTATTTGCCAATCAATGATGGAAAACGTTTCCCTCGCCATTGTTTGCAATTGGCAATTTTTTATAGCAGGAAGCAACTGCAGTTACATGCTCTGGTTTGAATTCGATTATTTCAGAGGATTACATCAAACATTGCCACAACCTTTCCTCTAGAAAACACTGTAACTATGGCATGAAAGTGCAAAAGCTTAGATATTTATGATAGTTCTCCAGAATTCCCATTCATATCTATCTCCTTACCCTTTTATGTGAGAGGATTGTCTTGAGAAGTGTGGACCCAGTGAAGAGAGAAGCAATGAAACTGATAGGATTAATTACTATTTAATTAAAAAATGCGGCCATCTACTCGATGAAATACATGTTTTCTCGTCAGTATTTAACATTACTCGTGTGCGAAATCACAGTTTTACACTAGGACTCTGAAAAACCTGATCTGTCCATTATCAGTTTCTTTCACCAGTTATACGAGCTCTAAAAACGCCTACAGAATTGAAGTTAGGCAATTTCATACACAAACGCGAAAACCGTTTCTGTACCGCGGGTTGCGTCTCGCGTCGTGCGAAGGAGCATGTTGATCGTCTCGGTGTCTCTCTTGAGCAGAATAAATGCGGCTGCGGCATAGTTAGCGGTCCTGTCTCGTTTGCCCCTCACCAGATCCCAGACGATAATGCGCTCTTTACTACCAAATCAATCGCATTTTGCTTTTCAATTCATTTTCGTAAAGCACGTAGAAAATGAGGAGATCGTAATTTGAGTGTTTGAATTTTAATTTTAAATGAGGTATTTTACCTTTTTTCATTCAACCAAATTTTAGGTGGGAAAACGACTCACTAAGTTGCTGAAAGTTCAACTCCATTTCAAACGAAAAATATCGCGCCAACAGATTTCTTGACGTCACAAGGATCATTGACCGCCGTGATCCTTTCGCCTGCCACTGTTTATAAGTATACATTCCGGTCGTACATTAGCCATGATACTGATTCACGGTGGTTGAAACCATGAGAATCTTTTATGACGTCATAAGGAGATCGCTAACGAGAAACGTTCCTCTCATCATTTCAACACTGAGCTCCTTTTTGTCAGTCATTAAAGCTGTTTCGAGCTTTTTTAAGCTCAGGGACGTGTTCCTCGCGAAAATTTTCATCGTTTTTATTTTTTTATCAAGTAATTCCAGGATCCAGGGGGATAACAGCCCCTTAATTAGAGAAACATGAGTTCATGACCTCAGTAGAACAAGTTTTTCATTCCCAGATGTCTCGGAGTAACCTCATGTAACTAAAAGTAACCCAAATTAATCATAAACACGAACATTTTGAACTGTGTGACAGGCCGAGACCCGATGAAAATTTAGTGGAGCGTTTCTCTGATGACGACACAAAGAAGGTATTAAATTCTTCTGAGGCGGCAGCGCTCATCACATCGACTTTATCACGCATCGCCCCGCTGTTTTGTTTTACTGTCGCGTCGACATAGTTAGGCATCGTTTTCTAGGGCCGTGTATTTCAGTGGCGAAGCGTGAATGATCGATTGTTGATATTTCCCCATTTGAAGCTGTGGTGAAGAATCGGTTTTTAAAGTGATCGTTGCGAACACTCTGTTTATCGGTCCTTTTCCATAGGTTCAAATGCAGGGTGTCTCGTGACCGGGAAATGTCAGGGAAATCAGGGGAAAAGTCAGGGAATCTGCAAAAATTCGACATGGCGGGGAATTTAATCTTACAAGCGATTTTTGTGTCAGGGAAACGTCAGGGAAATCGAAAAACACGGATTTTCCAGGAAATGTTTCGCGGAATGTACTCCACCGGAGATTTCTACCAATGTCTCTACTAAAATTTCTACCAGTTTCTGCTGATGTCTTTTAAATTTTACAAATGCGGCAAAAATATCTCGCATAAGTTTAGGCGCCGTGTATGTTCCTCTATTTAATACATTATTCCTAAAACATGACAAAAATTCTCACGTACATCTAATTAGTGCGAACTTGTCGAAAAATTAGGAATGTTTTCCCTATTTGTCAGGGAAATGTCAGGGAATTATTCTTTCCATCTGCCCGGGCATTTTGAATTTTTCTCCGGTTTTTTGGTCGTTTTCGTCAGGGAAACCAGGGAATTTTTTTCTTAACTTTCTAGACACCCTGAAATGGTAGATAAATCGATGTATCGCAAAGCAAGCCTTGCCACTGGTGGATTTCTGCTTCCTCGTTGAGTCGTTGCCGAACTCTATTGAGTCACCTCGCCTTCGCCTTGTTTTCGCTTTTCTCGGTTTTAAACAAATCTCCGCGCCGACCGCCACCTCCACCTCCTCCTCCTCCTTCTCCTCCACTTCGGTTTTATTTCCCTCCTTTTTTGCGGTCGACAGTGTAAATAGCTGCGGTCAATTTCGAGCCCGCGGCAGCCGCTGTCGCTACCGGCCCGGGTCGCCGCGGCTCTGCCAACAGGTGCGAGAAAGTCACCGTCGGCCCGTCCTGAAGAAAAACATCCTATGAGCCCTCAGACATTGCCATATTCCCCTCAATGAAAGATTATTTTACCGGAGAAAACTTGAATATTTTTCTTTTCATTTATCGGAAAATTTTGTTCCCAATCTAATCTAAAACATCTGAAAATGTCAAGGCAAAATACGCATCACTTAGCTGGCATGATAAAATCATATAAAATCAGGGATTTTATCAAATCCAAATCAAGAATTGTCACTCGGATTGAAATTCTGACTCTCCCTTAGGCAGATTCAGAGGGGCGTAGGGGACGAATGCCCCTCCCCCATTGACCCGAAAAAAAGGATTAAGAAAAAGGGAAGGAAGGAAGGACATCTGGTAATTTTTCATGCTCATGACAAAATTGACTCAAATTTCATACTAGCGGCTTTAAATTTCGAAAATTATCGGGGGAGGAGGACTCTCGGACCTCCCCCCTTCCGTCCCCACGTTCGAAGTGTCTGAATCCGCCTTTGTACTCTTCTGGTAATTCTGGCCAAAATACTTCTTTGTCTTCATAGATAGGAATTATTTTTAAAAATTTGTATCATTATGTGGTTGCAATAATGATTTTTATCCTAGCATGAGCAGTGAGCATTCTGTTCAAAAGATAAAACGTTTCGTTAAAATAGGAAGTTTTTACCATTTTGATACTTACATCTCACAAGTATAATAGCAAAATTTTGAAAAGGAAAATACAAATATCGTATGTAGTTTGATGAATTCTCACGTTCAAAATATCGAAAACTCGAGACCTCTGCGTTAAAACATATCAGACCTCTTGAATTTTCAAAATTTAAGTATCCGCCGACTATTTGCTCACGGCAAATGCATAACTTTCCTCGAAAATAACTATTTTGTCGGGGGAAATTCGGCAAGATTTGAAGGCTCGTACGGCGTTGTTGGTTAGGAGCGTGGAAAAACGCACGAGCGGGGCAGCAACTCGGTGCGGCAGCGGCGTCTAAAACTAATGCGTTAATAAAACGATATAGGTACTTTCTCCGTCACGCTACCTACCGCTAGAGCAGCACCTCATAGCCGCCAGCACCAATGCCTCGGCGGAAGATGGCGTTTTCGGCTGTTGCCATGTTTGAGCCGCTTTCGCACCACAATTATTGCAAAATAGCCCGGAATTGCTAAATTCCAGCCGGTGCTTGCTTTCGTAGAGAGCAAGTTCGCAGCAAGAAAGCACGTACACCTACCTCCAGTTGATCTCTGGGTCAACCTCACGTTCGGAAGAGAGTCATCTTCTGCTGCCCAAGGAAGCTCATGCAATGCCCTGCGCCTTGAGTTTCAACTCGCTAATATTTTGCAAAGAGCCTCCTCAAAAGTTACCACTTTTCCAGGAAACCGGGAATGGGTGACTAGACAAAGATTTGAGGTAGAAGAGAACGGCGCTAGTCCCCTCTTCAAAATCTATCGTAGATTACGATTCACGCAACAAGAAGTTCGGAAGTAAAGTCTTGATTGAGATTGAGATTTACAAGTATTTTTACCACTAGTATTAAGTCGCTCCTATAGTGCCTTTGTGCGCTCTGCGACACCCAACCGCCACTGACAGCGATCTTGCCAGAGTCCCAACAAGTATTTTTAACATAGATTGAATGGAAGGTAGATCATAAATGTAGCGTCATTCGTATTTTTGTCATTTCACCCATGATAATTGGACGCATTTCTGCTAAACGGAATCAAAGAAGGGTAGGAAAGAGGGGGTGTGGTCGTTAGTTGAGAGCCGTTAGAATGCTTGGGAATTATAAAGCGCCGGTGACGTCAGCGGTCGTCCGTGGTCCGCTGTAACTCATGAGCCCCGTCCACAACGCTCTTGTGCCTTGTCCACGTCTCATGAATGCCGCATACAGTTGGCAATTGGTTTCATTTGATAGAACGTAAAATTCTGCTTTTCTATTTCCCCAAAAGGAATCACGCCCACTTTTACATTGTTTCATATCCAACTCCAAACGAGCACACCCCATCTTTCCCACACGTCTCTGGTTACAGAAATACATCCAATTTTAAACACCTTAATCTTGTTTATAGGGGTTGATTTCTAAACTGCCCGTTGTGTGATTCGTTTTCTTCGTGAAATTTTGAGAGGGAAATATGTCAGGTAGTACTGCAACTCATACTTTGTCTAGTGGCTCATTAAGTAAACTGTGTGGTTAAAATGAAACCTCTGAGTGAGAAAAGACTACTATAATTTTTATTCAAAGCTGGTTGTGGTAATAGCCGTACTAAGTTTACATTTTCAGCATACATAAAAACATTTTACTGTTGGACAGTGTATTTGCAATACTGCATGACCAAAATCATCTTCAAACTCCAGGCAAATCTTTGAACAAGGACATGTATCATCA